CTAATTACAGAATACATAGATATCACCATTGCCGTGACCTTGCAAAAGTGTTGTGTTTTTTTTTCCTTCCCAGAAAAATGAAAATTTCCTTAAAGAAACAGCTGTGTCCTGCCTGCAGCCTGAAGAAGAATGGCATTAGTCACATGCAGTTCAACACGTAGCACAATTGTAAAGTTCACTCTATGAGACTGACAGGAGCTATTCACATCAGCCCCCTCCACCATCTGCCTGAATGGCAGCGGCTGTGGGGTGGTGACAGCCCCCCTGCCTGCCCCAGTGCTTGGGGACAGACTCTGAGTTGGCCCCATGTGCGGTAAATCGGGGGTTGAAAGCAACGGGAGGATGTCACTCAGGTCAAAGCAGATTGTCCAGAGAAAAAAGTGGGGAGGGAAGAGTCAAAGCTAGTGGGAGTACCAATTTGCTGTTCTCCTGGGGAAAAGGTGTTGCCTCCAATATGGCGAGAAGCAAAGAGAACAGCTGAGTCTGGGGCAAAATCCTATATCTTCCTCCTTCCTCACTTCCTGACCTTGGATTTAGGACAGGCTCTGAGTCCAGAGGGCAACCTGCTGGAGGATTGATTGCAGTCAGTGTCCCCTCTTGGTATGCTTCAGGGCCCCTCCCGTAGTCTACAAAGGTCAGACTGGATGAAGGAGTGAGGTTCATTTTCATCCTGTCACCTGTTTTTTCTTGTTTCCAGATGGTGACTTCTCAAAACACAAATTCCTGCTATCAAACCCTGGGGCATGTGGCCCAGCATCCCTAAAATCCTTTCCTCTCCAATAGCAGTAGTTCTTAAGGTCACCAAATTCTTGCAGTATGATGTTAAGCATCATCTCCCACTTTTACGCCACTGGCACATCATTAACATTAATCTCTTTTTTTCTCCTCACCTCTCCAAAACACAATGAACTGAAATCTTTGAATTTCTGAAGAAATTTTTTTTACAATTTCTAAGCTTTGTTTTTAAGTAAAAATCTGTTTACTACTATTTTTTTTTTTTTTTTTTTTTTTATAATAAATGGAGGTTGCCTAGTTTTAACTTGCATAAGGAAAAGATGAGAAGAACAGTGCTTGGCATATGGACATATCCCAGACAAACGAATACTTGTCCCAAATCAGGGAGGGCAAGAAGCTCATTTTAACCCAGCCCGGAAAGTATACTGGCACTGCAGTATGCAGCAGAGTTGTACCGACAGCAGGGTGAGCCCTGTGACAATGTTTATTCAGGCTAAGATGGAGAAAAAGTGCTCTTTTTAGGAGAGAAAAAGGCATTTTGTGTAAGCTAGTGCCAGAACAGTGATTTTTGCATCACCTCTGTGCTACTCAGATTTTCATTAACTGCTCTTTGCTTTACTGATCATTACAATAGTAGCAGTGATTGGGGTATTTGTGTTATCTCAGCTGCCCAGTGCACTTACTGCACTGCCTCCTCTCTTAATGGTTTGCATTACTGGGTCTGCTCATGCAGTCCTGGAATGATGCTGATGTTGGAATATCTGTGCTGCACGAGTCCCTGAGAGTAGAAATAAGCTGGAAGAGGTTTTGGGGTAGAATTGGCTAAATTGTGATACCAGTTACAATGAGTGACGTTTTTAAAACACTTCTTGGGTATTTCTGTGGAAGAAAATAATTTTTCATAGTTTCTGCATGTTTGGGAAAAGCATAACTGCATCCTTTTAGTGAATGGGTTTATTCCTGTGCTTCACTTAGAAAAAGGAGTTAGGAAATTTCACATACCAAAAATTCCCGAGAAGACAGCTGTCGGGAGGTGACATGTCAGATATGAAGTGGCTCTCCAGCTGGTCCCTGTCTGCATGCTGGGAAGGCATGTGGAGACATTTTTTCAATTGCTGTACTAGTTTGACACGTTCACAGTGGAAAATGATGTATCATTCTTGAGCCTTTGGTTGGTGGACACTTCAAAGTGCACTGGATCCTCAGAGAAGAGTGCCCTATTGTTAATTGTTCCTTTCACATGTACATTGGGATGAACATGGTGAGAGCAGTGAGGAACAAAAGGGCTCCGGTGGTCTCTTAGGGAAAACCCTGTGCAGCTCAACCTGAGTCTGACCTTGAAAGGGTGGGTTGCTCTGCTTCTTAAATCCTGCTTGCTGGTTCATTCCTCTTTAGCTCCCTGCCGTTACCCAGCTGCAGGAGAAAGGGATGCTGGAGTGGCAAGTGTGGTGAGGCATGGGAAGCTGCCATGTGGTGGCCAAGGAGCTGTGACCAAGGCAAGTGGTCCTCCTGGAAGGCACAGGCATAGATGGGCATTTGGAAAGAGCTTCAGTGGTGTGGGAGGAGTGCTGGGTTCTCCATACACACAGCCATAAATCCCCTATCTTTCCTGTAAATCCCCTATAATTGGATGTTGGACACCCAGTATATGACATGAGTTTCTTAGGCCTCTGAGGACATGGTTCATTAACATCCTCAGAAACTCCTTTGCTACCAGGCACCTGTCCCACATCTCTCTTTATCTTTCTTCCCTGGACATACCACTTGGGGATACAGTGTACATGTTGTCCAGGGTGTGGTCAAATGCTCAAACACAGCAGGAAATTTGTTCCTCCAAACAGAGATGTGAAGTCTTGATGTGCATCTTGTCAATTGTGCTAGAAAACACTTCTCTCTGTAAACTCAGCTGCAGAAAAAGGACCTGTGTCAAGCCACAAAGAGGCCAGGCCCCAGCTAGTGTATCCCAAAATAGATGCTTGAGCAGATGACTGGAAACTCACCCCCACAGTCTTACTGGAGAAGATTGCATGGAGATGTGCATCACGATGGTGTGAGGCAGATGATGTGAAGTTAGCTGCACTAGGTCTCCTGGGAAGGAGCTGCTTTTGGAATAGAAACCGTGAGAAAATAAGCCTCAGTGCCTCCAGCACTGTAAGTAAGGGCAAAGCTGCCCCTCACTCTGCTGATATAATCCCGTCTCAGACAGCACAGAGGTGCCTTCAAGGCTTTCTACCTTGCCATCAGATTGCAACCCACTGCAGTAGTGCAAAGGCTCTGTGGCATCTTCTGCTGTGCAGTGTCCTAGCCCAAGGTCTCCCCAGATCTGCAGCACCTGAGTATGAAATATATGGCTTGGGTTGGACTGGGAGAAATGGTGTGAAAATGGGGTGGCAGCGCTGAGCATGCTGGCATAGGAAGACTTGGGGAGTCCTCAGCCCAGGGTACAGTGGTGCAGTCTAGATCTTGTCCTTCTCTAAAGAAAGCTGGATTAAAAGAAATAAATGCAAAATGTTGCATTTGTCAGCTTTCAGACCTTCAGTGCCTTACGTTAGCAAAGAAGATTTTACTTGCAAAATGAGAGATAGCTGGGACTTCAGTCCCTGCTTTCCCAGGGCTGGTAGTCTCTTTCTGGCTGTGGGCATGCTTACCCTGACACTGTCCCTCTCCTCCCATCCCCGGGGTGTTGCAGGCAGTGGATCCCAGGCTGGTACATGGGGCAGCAGCCAGCTCCACATCACCCATGTATACCAAAGGCAGCCCTCCTGCTCTCCTATTCCCCTAGCTCCCAGTTTTGCTTTGCTATTAAGTTATTGCTACCCCTCAGGGACGAGCCTGCACGAAGGCAGAGGGCTCACATAGCTATGCATCAGTAAAGGAAGCAGCTCAATTAGCATTTCACACGCCTTTTCTTCCCTCTCTTCTTACCTTCCCTGCAGCGGGCATGCTTTCCCCTTAAAGGATTGTCCTGTTTCTGCTCCTTGCCAGCGTTGGCAGGGTGACAGTAGTCGAGTGTGCAAACTTGTGCTATTGTCCCCAGGCCAGGGGGAGTCATGGAGACCCACTAATATGACACAGGAAAATGTTTGCTGATGGCAATTCTATGGGCTTTGTCTAACTCTTTCTCCATCATGACGACTCGATTTAAGTCTCTAACTGTTTGACTACAGATGCAAGAGTACTATCCAACTCCATCCTTTTGTCCGGGTAGTTTGAATGGGTAATTCAGCTTTTGTGTAACTCAATTGAGGGGGCAAACATAAAGACAAGATTCTTGAGCGCTCAAGCTCCCTTTCCATGGATATCTGCACATCTCTTTAGAGATTTGTTCCTTTCCTACCTTTTTCTGACATCATCCTCCCCTTAAAAAAAAAGTCTCTGATGGGGAACGGTTAAAAGTAGGCTAGCCCGGTCCCCCGTATTACATTGTCCTGTGCCAATGAAGCATGGTCAGTATCAGCCCACAGACAGCTTCGGGGAGTGCACAGAAAAGGGTGCCTAAACTTTCCTAACTCATCGTCGGCACTTTTCCTTTGGATTGTGCCTTTAAAAAAGAAAGGCCTTGGTAGGGGTGAAGAGGATAGGGGAGAATGGTAGAAATCGCGGGGAAATGATTGTATTTATTAGCTGTCTTTCTGTGGCTGTCCCCATGGTGACAATTTGTGATGGCAAAGAATGTGAGAAGGGGAGGCTGATGCCTGATTGGGATGCTTTGTATTTGGCAAAGTGGCTCCTGATTGGTCTGAGAGAGCCCCGAACTCAGCAGAGTCGATATTCATTCAGCTTGCTCAAGTGCTTGCTCAACTGCCTCCACACACACCGGCTGCCTCCGTCGGGCCTGGCAGTGTGTAACCTGCCTAACGAGATTAGCAGAAAGGGGCTCTTCTTCACCAGCACCCACCGGAAAGCCCCAGCGTGCCGGGTGAGTGTCCGCGCTTGCTTGCAGGGACACGAGAGCAGCTGCCTTGGCTTCTTCTCCCCACCTATGTCTCACCTAATGAGATTAAGTGAGCAGCCCTGTGCCGGAGGCTGAGCTGGGGCTGCAGGTGCATGGCAGCCTGCCTGCACAGAGGTGAGGTGGTGGACAACCTGTATGCTTAGCTGAGAAGTTTGACATCTTCTCTCCACCTCCTGTAGTGCTCTTGATGCTTTTTGAATGCAGGCTTCACACTCTGAGTCTGCCTACCGTGTCTTGCAGATTGGCCAAGGCTTACCTGAAACGGATTATAAACATTTAATGGGAAATTCTGCACAGCTCATCCAGTGAAATGGCATCGGACAGCGAGGTAAAAACCCTGCTGAACTTTGTCAACCTGGCCTCTAGTGACATCAAGGCAGCCCTGGATAAATCTGCTCCCTGCCGTCGGTCGGTGGACCACAGGAAATATTTGCAGAAGCAGCTGAAGCGTTTTTCTCAGAAGTACTCACGGGTGCCACGGTGCCACCCTGCCAAGCCCCCGGAATGTGGCCCACGCCGTGGAGCAGAGGACAGGGCTCGCAGCTGCCAGCCTGAGGTGCCCGGCCCTGGCCCCCTCGGTGCGGCTGCCACTGAGAAGATGCTGCAGGCAGCCGAGGTGGAGGAGAGTCTGGTGGTTGAGCAGGCTGTGCCAGAGCAAAACCCTGAGGTCAACAGGCCAGACCAGGTGCCCATGAGGAAACGACAGCTTCCTGCCTCCTTCTGGGAAGAACCGCGGCCGCCACAGAACCTCCCAGCCAGGGGCTTCCCCACGGGCCCCGAGGGGCTACCAGTCCCCAGGGACCCTCCTCCCTTCGAGGGGAAGAAAAGCAAGAGGAACCAAGACAGTATTGGACCTGAGAGTCATGAGCCTGCCCTGAATGCAGGCGAGAAAGATGCTGCTGGTGTACTTTCAGGCCGGGTGGGTGCCTGGACCTGCTGCCCCTTCCCCTGCCCTGGGCCAGCTGTTTACCAACCCCCAGGAACGCTGCCTCCATCACCTTTCTCAGGGCTAGGGCTGTGGAGGAAGGGCGCTGCCACACTGCCAGCTGAAGCACAGCCCTTCTGCAAGGAGGCAGAGGGCACAGGGCAGAAATTCTACAGGCCTGTGGTTTTGAAACCCATCCCTACCAAGCCTACCATCCCCCCACCGATTTTCAATGTTTTTGGCTACCTTTAGCCAGACGAAAGGGCCAGAGTGTGTGACACTAGACAGAATAACCCCTTAGAGGGGGTTGAAACACCAGGTTGGGCAGTGGGCACAAGGAGCTGGTTGTGTGCGGAAGGAGCTTCCATCCAGAGATGGTGTTGGCCCCTGCACAGGCTGGAGTGAATTAGTAACTGTACAGCCTCCATTCTTCTCTTCCCAGGTAAAAATCAGGAATAAGCCCTATGAATCTGGTGGCAAGGCATGTGTGGCAAATCAGACCTTTTTTATGGAAGCACGTTGTTGGAGCCATGGCAAGCAGGGCTCTGGGCCACTTGCAATGTTGTTGCAATTGTAACACCTCCGAGAACCTCTTCCATGTGGGAGCATCTTCCCAGGTTGCCCTGCAGGCACAGCACTGAAATGAAATGAATTAAACTCACTGAAACTGTTTTTGTACGTTTAAGTAATTCCGGAGAAGTCAAGATATTCAGGTCACTTCATTTTGTGTGCAAGAGACTGGAAGGACAGTATTTAATGTGGAAACTACATTTGTGAATTGATTTAAGCTCTTCTTGTGTGTAAATACTAAGAGAATTGAAAGAAAAAATAAAGGAAGAAGGGAGGTAATTTCATTCTGGTGATTCTGCAAATGCAATGTGTTTACTTTTCTCACTGAGTAGATGCAGGTTTAATTTGCAGCTGCTGGTTAGATATGACAGCTGAAATCTCTGCATATTTAGAATGATGTAATTCAGATTTAATCCTGAGGCTGGGAAATCAGTGAGTGTTAAACTGGTGCAAATGGGAGTAGAGTAAGTTTCTGTTTCATAAATTGTTCCCCATCAACCAAGATAAAAATAAGGTGTTATACGTCAAATACAAAAACATAAAATATGATAGAGAAGTGTTTATAATAGCTTGCCCTCTTTTTTCTCTAGCAGGGATCTTTTCTTTTGTCTGTTTTTAAGATACAGTCACAAGACCTGGCTACAAATGATCTGCCTATTGTTTTCTTAATTATTTTGGTGAAATGGCATGGTAAAAGCTAATAGGTGATTGTTTAAGTTAAGCTTCTCTTAAACCCATTGAGAAGGTGTTGCTAAGGCACAGAACATGGGACCTGAAAGGTTTAATATTGTGTACCTCCATATTCAGTTATACTGGAATAAATCACTGAGATCAAGAGATGTTATAGAGGGAAGGGAGGGAGAGGAAGGACAGAGAATGGGCATCTGTGCCCTCTCTGGGCCTGAACCTGCTCTTCTTGGAATGAATGGGAGCTTCTCTTGGGACTTGGCAAAAAGTGATCTTGATCTGGTTGGCCCCTGGCTACAGCAGTGCTCCATCACTCCTGGTATCTCTACGAAGAGAAAAACAGGCCGTGCTTCTTTCAAGCACACTGCAGTCATGAAAAAATTATCATCTTAAGCCACCATAGAGTTTAATTTTGGATCTTCTGATGGGACTTGCTGTTATGTAACCAGACTGCAACTGCAGTTAGGATATAAACTACTCTCAGGCTGAAAGTAGTTTATTCTTTCCCCAGACCTCTCAGTTTAAGCCACTGATGCTTATTTCAATGAAAGCAATGGCTGTAGTATGTTAGTCTTTCATTGTTTCACATATGTATCAAGCATGTACCTGCAACTCTGCGCAAGATGCAAAGTGGGAAGGAGCTGGTCTAAGAATTCAAGGCATCAGATTTGCTCTTGATCAAAGTATGAAGATGTCCTTATGTTTTTGTCTTTTTGGGAAAAAGAATCCATGAGGAGACAGTAGCCTTCTTTAATTTAGTGAACAGAGAATTGTGGATCCTACATTGCAGAGCTGGAGGCAGGAAATGTTGTATGTAATTAGATGCACTTTCTCACATAAGCAACTCTGTATCACTGTTGTAATCCAGATGAAGCCAGGTGCTGAATCTCTCTCCTGGTTGCCAATGCAATGCACTCTCCTTGGCATTGCTCTTCATGTGGGTGACCAGAGAAGCTCAGGGAATGAACAATGGGTATTGCAGTGACTGCTGTGGACAGGTGTTCCTTCTGGAGTTCAGGGCAGAAATTTGAAAGTGGATTCCACTAGACTGTGGATTTCATCAGTGTGGCAAAGTGAAGAGCTTCTGTAGAAATTTTATTTCTGAAGATGTTCAGAAAAATAAGAGAGTTAAAATCAAGATTCTACCTTTTAGATACTAAATTTTTTGGTTTTTAGTCTTTTGAAGTGATTATTTGAATATATTTTGCTGCGTTTTCGATGTAGCAGTATAGCCTGCTTTTAAACTAAGCTAAAGGATAGAACCAGATTGTTCCTAGCGATCTCCAGCATGCTTATATTTATCAATTTACCGTCAGATTCAGGCCAATATTATGTTTTAAAATCCTTACATTCCACTGTGACATAGGGCTTCCTTCCCCAGCACAGGGCAGGAGGTGGCCCTTGAGGCTCTGAGCTGAAGCATTAGTGAAATAAAACATGAACGATCAGAAGCCAGTTGTTAAGTACATTCAAAATCATAGAATGCAGATGTATTAGACATTTCAAAAGGTGTGCAAAGAATAACAACTGTCTCTCTACCAATATTTACTATTCTCTCACCCCTGAGACTGCCATCAGAATTATTAATTGTGCAAGCTTGGATCGATTCAGACTTTTCCTGGCTGTTCCACTGTTTAGTTGTTTAATTTTGCTATTCAGGAGAGCTGATAACACTTTAGAATCTAATTGTTTAATTCATACTTTGTTGGAAAGATGGAAACATAACAATCAAGAGCTGCTGTCTACTACAACAGTGCAAATTTAAACTGTTAAAACTACAATAGCATTCATAAATAATGGTAAATGAAAATATTCCGTATAAAATAAAATAAAAACCAAAATAGTGCACACAAACATAAAGTGAATTGCACATGTTGCAGCAGGATAAAGTACAGTAACCTGGTCATGAAATATTCCTATTGTATATCACAAAAAGTTATAATCTCTGAAGGAGCTGGAACTATTGATCTGCTTATAAAGCCTAGTTTGCTTGGGATGTTGGGTATTTATCTTATCACAGTTTTAGACACTAAATGTTCATCACATTTGTACAGATTCAGCATCACACATTAAACATTGTGCCAGTGACTGGAGTGTAGGAGAGGTAGTTGGCTCCGTTTCAGTGCAAATAAATGTAAACTGACTGAGTGAAGGTTTGCAGTAAAGATCAAGCAGAAAGGGCATAATAATGTAATTACTAGGCTCTCCCTCTAACATACATCTCTCCTCAGTTGCTGTGCACACTGTGTCCTTACCCATCTCACAGCTGTGGTATGCTCACATCAGGTCAGTGGCTGTTGCTCAGGACAGACAGCTGAGAGCAACCAGGATACGAGTTTCTCAGCAAAGATGAAGGTCTCTTGGTGAAAAGAAGAAATGGACTTTCTGTATTTGCTCCACCCAAGACCAGTTTCATCTTGTCCAGGGACATGAAAAGAAGCTGTTATTCATGAGACTTTTGTGTACATAATGATGTTGGTTCAGAGAAAATTCCCAGTTTGGGATGGTTTATGAAATCTCATCCCTGCAGCTGGTGAATTCAAATCCTTCTGTCAGCTACCAGTCTCCAGAGCTGACACCACACACCAAACAAATGCTTACTTAAATGGTCTCCACCAGGTCATGCTTAGCTCTATCCGCTACCTGCAACTCTGTTATATTACACTTATTTAATTTCAACAATATTTCTTCTGATTTATATAAATGTGAGTAAGACCTGGACCTTCACTGCTCAGCCCCATTAGCTAAGGGATGCAATAATTCCACAGATGACTTTCCACTTCTCAAACTATCGCTTACAATTGTATAGTCTAATTTTTGGGCAGTTCTTTGTGGAGCTAGGAGTTGTACTCAATGATCCATGTGAATCATGATCAACTTGGGATATTCAGTGATTCTATGATTATAATTACAGCTCTTTCCCTGACAATGCAGACTCACAAAGGCTGGAGGAGTGCTTCAGAGGGCTGCTTAGCCAGCTCTTCTTTGTATGGCCAGCAGTGGTGGCCAGCTCCTAACTGGTGTCGTGGAGAGGCTCCATTTTCTGAATGGCCCTACTGGGTAGGTGGCACTGTACCTCCAGAGACCTCACTCCTCCTGTAAGAATGGTGGAGTTCACACTTCAGAACAAGGAGGCTGATAGTGATGGAATTTCAACAGTGGAGGAATTTCATCTTATTTTATAAAGCTTTGAAGATCACAGTTCAGTGAGAAATGAAACTGTTGTTTCCACATTTGGGAAGAGGACAGCTACAGACAGTGCGCTTGCTGTGACCATTTCTGCTTTCATTCACATCCTATGCCATGAGTGCTAAATGCATTTCACACAAAACCATCACAGAATCTGGACTTCTGTGCCCAGATAGGCCCATGTGTGTGCAACACACTTTTAGTGCTGTGTTAAGTTGTGAAACCACATACAAAATCAGTCCAGTGCATTTTCCCTATTTAAATTTCTATCTCATTTCATAGTATGCAGGCCAACAAACAAAAACAGATCTGTCAAGTCTCTGGTGGGGAGTCAAAACAATCTCTATTTCACAAGTCTTATGTCACCTAAGGTAAGAATGGGTATGCTTCTAGAATAACATCTGCCAAGACATGATTCCAAAATTAGGCTCTTCCATCCTTACTTAGGCACCTGATCAGGACCGAGGCATTCATTGAATTTCAGTGGTTCAGCAAGTCACACCTGTCAAGTGAGCTGTAGTCACTGCCAATAACCATTCGTGGGCTCCTCAGCCTCCCCAGCTGTGAGGGAATGTGACTTGTTAAAAACTTCAATAAAAGAATTTCACGGACAATTATAGCGGTTCAGCTGATAGATGGCAAGTTGTTAAGCTGCCATAAATCAGTTGTGTATCTGAGCTGTAAATAGGTGACCTAATTTTCAGAGAAGCTAAGATAATAACTTTCGTCAATGTCAAAAGAACTAATAGATACTTCTAACTTCTGAAGTCAAGAAATTCAAGGCTAAATCTTAGGACTTATTCCAC